TGCTTCATACCACAGACAATCCAAATAGGACTGAATTATAGAAGAAAAGGGCTTAAATCCTTATAGCTGCTTTGACTAGTCTTATGACCTTTGGAGATAGTTGTGGGTAAGAGACTGATGGATCCTTAAACACACACACACACACACACACACAAAGAGGAGAGGGAGAGAGAGAGAGAGAGAGAGAGAGAGAGAGAGAGAGAGAGAGAGAGAGCGAGCGAGCTCTGGCTTACTACCTGATCTGGTTAATCTCTCCCCTTCCAGACTCCTAGGCCCTAACAAACAATGGTTGTTCTACCATTGTAAAGCAAAACTGAAGTTGAAACAAGTCTTTGGGTCTTAGAAGACCTGATTATGAAGTGGACTGAGCACCTGTCTCCAGCAAACTGGTGGCCATCCTTCCAGAAGACTCAGTTTTAAAGTCTCTTTGTTATTATCCATGTTTTTTGAGACAGTGTCTCATTATGTATCCTAGAACTCATTATGTAGCCCAGGCTGGCCAGAGATTCATGATCCTCCTCCTGTCTTAGCCTCCTGAGTACAGGGATTGTAGACAGGCACCATTAGGCCCAGTAGGGACTTAAAAACAACTCATTAGAACAATCATAACCTAACACTTGCTTTTTATGTAAAGCTTCAGCGTTTCCATCTTCTTTGTGTTGGAATCAGCCAATCCTCAACACTTCGAACACGCCCTTTCCATACTGCCCAGACTACTGAGATCTAGAACAGCAATTGATAGCTGCAATTTTGTTTTTCTTTTTTAAAATTTAATTTAATTTTATAAGCACGGGTGATTTGCCTGCATGTATACGCCTGTGCACTGCATGAGGGCTTGCTGCCTGCTGAGGTAGGAAGCCGACATCTGATTCCTTGGAAACGGAGTTATGGGTGGCTCCGAACCACCATGTGTTTGCTAAGAAATGAACCTCAGTCCTCTGTAAGAGTAACAAGTGCTTTTTTATCCTTTGAGCCTCTCCAGCCTCTGCTTTGAGACAGGATCTTGCTATGTAGTCTCTCCCTACGTAGTACAAGCTGGTCTCAGACTTGTGGCGATTTTTCTGCCTCTGCCTCCCAAGCACTGGGGTCATAGATGGGTACCCCTGTGAAAAGGAAAGTGATATGATATTCTGAGTTCCCTTCCTAGAAAGATGAACACACACAGGCTCAGGGTCTGCTTCCAGGAAACCTGGGGCTCCTGGAAGATGCCAGCATGGTGGAGTCACATGGCTGCTGATCACGTCTCTACCTGAGCTTGCTTCTCGTCTTGTCAGGCCATCTCTAGGGATCCTGGCTGACTTCTCAGCCACTTCATGAGGCCGTTTCATCTACCAGCCAGAACTCAACCTCCCACACATTTTTTTTTTTTGAGGGGGGAAGAGTCAGGTTTTCAAAGACGTTTGTGAGGCCCCCCTCAGTCACAGGGTCCCTGCGGCAATCTTCAATGTGCCTCTCTGAGAATACTGTCAGATTTGAGAAGCCAATCCGAGCTTTTTTTATGAAGCTGGGCTGGCTATTTTTATCCATCTCCCCTCTCACCCCATCTCCTGAAATGTGTCGTGGCTCGGCTGATTAGTGTTCTAGTCATGCAGGGAGGCTCAAGGCTCACAGATAAAGACCAATCAGGGCTTTGGAAAGCAAACTCAACTCCTCCAAGATGGACACGCCGATACTTTACGACGAACATGAGCAGAATAAAATCTGCTTTAGGGAAATGGTTTCGTGACTTCCAAGAATGCTAGAACTCAGTAGAGATGCAGAAATAAATCCTTGGGTAAGAAAAGATCACCACCCTGAATAATGTCTTTCCTTCATTCCTAATTAAACACTGGAGATGGGGAGACTAATTTGAAAGAGGAGAGAGGCAACCAGGAGTGTCCTGGATGATATTTAAGGACGGACAGGGTACACTACCCAAACATGCTCCTCAGGAGGCGGACGGCACCCAAACCCAGTCTGCCCAGAAGGGGGCCTCTTTTCTAACACATCTGTTTAAAGAAGGAGGTTGGTTACTTACTTCTTTAATTCTTAGAAGGCGCCAGAGCTTAGCAGCTGGCCCCAAAGACATCTATGATCCTCCTAGTTTAATCTATTTGGAATGAATTATTTAAGCTGTCCTTGTAAGCCAATCTGCCTTACATCCCAGGCTGTGAGCCAACAGTTCGGAATCAACCTGGAGGGCTTCTGGAACCACAGAGGGCTAGGGGCTTGAGAATGTGAATCTTTAACAAATACCCAGGAGATTCGGAGGCTGCAGGTCTAGGGACCTTGCTTTGAGAACCAGAACTGTAAACTGTGGCTCCAGAGGAGGCTGCTTTACTTGGGACCTTGTCCGTGTTTATTAACAGGGGCCTTGCTGAGCCTGTACATGATCAAAGGGAAAAGGCAACCAGAGGTACCTGAGCCGAAGGGTTATCCTGGTTTGGACTTTGCCTTGGTTATAACACACCCATCTATCTGAAAGACCCATAGTTCCCTGAATGACCTTGAATCAGTAAGTGGCTAAGGAGACGCTGTGTGGCAGGGCCTGTTTCTATTCATTTAATTTCCTGCGAGTCTGCATCAGGTAATGAAGGAGCCACTGTGTTCCAGGCCAGCAGCTCAGCTGGGCTGCCGAGGTCTGCAAGAGTTTATACCAAATTGATGGTGTGACTCTCAGGTCCCTGCTGCCTGAAAGGGCTGCTTGTTTTGGTTTAGACTGTCGATGTGGACACAGGGGGTGGAGACCACTCCGGGGTTGACAGCAGCCCTGATGGTCTACATCCACCAAAGCCTAACTAAGCCTTCCAACCATAACTCAGACACAAAGAGGATTTTGTGATCAATAGACTCCTTGAGTTGCTAACTGCCTTCCTTCTTATCCTAAGTAAATAGGTAGGAATTCTTAAATAGGTAGGTAAGACCTTTCGGCTGGAGAGCCTGTGTTTCATCTAATACATTATTCTAGCTTCAGGCTCTTGTAATAATCTGAGAATTCTAAAGGAGCCTCGCACATGCTAGGCAAGTCTCTCCCACTCTCTTAATTAAATGGCCTAAAGTCATCACTTCCTGGCTGCAGGCTTAGCTGAAGCAGAAAAGAATCAGTATCCATTCTTCATATCCGCTTACTGGATACATACTCCCACTTCGGCTTTTCCTCCTACATTGGTTGTCATCCTCTTTTCTCATTAAGAAAAATTATCATTGTATACATGTGCACGATATGCATATCCCATGATACACTTGGGTAGATGTTAGCGGACAACTTTGTGGAGTCATTCTCTCCTTCTACCTTTAACATGGGCTCTGGGGAACGATTCAGGTCGCCAGGTTTGGCAGCAGACGCCTTTACCCACTGAGCCATCTCCCTGGCCCCAAACCCTCTTTTTGGAAGGGCAGGCTTGAAATGTTTTACCTCCTTAAAGCAGAGTGAAGCCCTCCTTTGAATATTTCTGAAAAGCCCTCAGTAGCATTCTGGTGCTAGAGAATCCTAGCTGTGAGCTTTGCTTTCTGCTCATCAAGGTGGCAGATTCTGGGTCCTCTGGGTGCCTGACATTTATGTGATCAATGCAGGTCTATTGCTCTTTGACTAGCCCTGGGATATTTTCTGGAAGTTGGCAATAAGGGAACCATGAGCTCTGAGAAGTACAAGTTAAGAGAGGACAGACATCAGACATTACTTCTTCAACTGTTTTCTTTTCCTCCTTCCCTCCCTCCCCCTCCCCCTCCCTCCCTCCCTCCCTCCCTCCCTCCCTCCCTTCCTTTTTGGTGTGTGTATGTGTGTGGTGTGCATGGGATGGCGTTGGTCAAAGGTTCTGTATTCCCTCTGAGACTTTCTCCCCAGTAATCAAAAACAATACCAAGAAGATAAAAGCACCCAGAAAAAGTTAAGGACCAGAGGAAATAATCTGAGGATACTCTCCAGTGACCTTTCTCATAAAAGCCAGGTCCTGGTGAGTCTTCCTGACAGCACAGTGCATAAAAATGTCCTGTGGTTGTGGGACATGATAATCTAAGTGGGGATGGGCATTTGGATAAACCAGGAGAAAGCGCTTCCTCTTCAGCAGGTGCGGAGCTTGGAAAATGGAAACATAAAAACTAAACAAACCCGTGGCCCAGCAGACCAAGCCTTTTAAACTTGTAGCTTGAGTAACCAGCATTGCCCTCACCCATTCTGTTCAGTGTAGCCTTTCACTTTAAGGTAGGATAGCAGAGGGGTCAGCTGCTGCTGTGGAAACTGAGGGTAAGGGTGGAATAAGGGTGGAAAAAAGACCAAAATGCAATGTAGGTTACACCCAGGACAAATAACGTGACTTAGGACAATAGACACATACAGTCGGCTCTATCCTAAGTCACTGGTTGGGCGTGCTCGCTCATTTCTATTTATAGTCAAGGACACTGGCCACCTGATGACTGATTCAGGGAGGCAGAGAACTCATGTCCACACAACCGCAGTGCGGAGCATCCAGGGAGGGTGGTCCATCCATCATGGTATCAAGCAAGCCTTCGGATGACATTAAAAACAAAAATAAAAACAAAAAAGAAACAAAAAAGCCAGAGCAGTACTTTCAATTAGAGCTACCCAGGCACCTATGCCTCCATCCGTCCTTGACATCTTAGAGAACTTGTATGTCTCTGATGAGGGTCTGTTTCAAGTGTTCACTGTATCAAGGGATGGTTACTTAATAAGATGCTTCAATCAGATAATGTTGAAGTTCAGGATAATTTCGGATGGATCTGAAATCCACCCCACAGAGAACAATGGAGTCCTGTGTGTCCGTAAGACAAGCACCAAGCACGCCGAGGTCCTACTTGGTCAATAGTTCTGTGGTTATTTCAGACCGAGCTCCTATAATTACATCTTTATTGGGCTCACAGGACAGAGCTATTTCCAATACAGGAAGTGGTGGCCTGCCCTTTGTTGTTGTCCTTCTAGGTTACACTTGAAGCTGGGTGTACTGAAAGCCAAGTCAAGGTGTTACGAAACCACTCTCCAAGTTATTTTGGGCCATCGGACTTACCATACCACTCATCAACCCACGCAAAGGCCTGTCTGTGTCCAATCAGCAAGATGTCTCGGACCACCTGAATGAAGAGTAAGAGAAGGAGGTTGACATAATACCGGGTGTGACCAAGAGCGTCTGGGGGTTGAGGGGCTGGGGCGTACAGTGGGTAAAGTGCTGCCTGTTTAAACATGAGGAACTGAATTTGGATCTTTAACACCCATATAAAAATTAGACATGTTAATGTATGCTTGTCCTGTAGCCACAGAGCTGGGGGAGTGGAAATGGAGGTTCCCCAGGAGCTTTCTGGCCTGTCAGTGAGCCCCAGGTTTAGTGAGAGATCCTGTCTCAAAACATAAGCTGGGGTCAGTGAGCCAGGTCAGAGGGTAAGGTGACTCTTGCTAAGCCTGCCTGAGTTCAATGTCTGGGTCTCAACCGGTAGAAATGATGGAGGGAGAGAACAGATTCCTGAAAGATGTCCTCTGACCTCCTTATGTGCCTCTCCCCATGTAGAAATAAACAAAATATAAAAATATAGTACAATAATTTAGGAGAAAATTTTAAAAATCTGTAGAGACAGGTAGAGAGAGACAGAGACATAGAGAGAGACAAGGATGTTGACTTTTGGTCTCCATAAAAACGTGACTGACAAATGCACCCCCCTTCCAAACATACACAGATAGGCATCAAATAATGATCAAATAAAATAATATTTTTTCATCTCTTTCTTTTCTTTTTTTTTTTTAACGTTTTTTGAGACAGGGTTTCTCTGTGTAGTCCTGACTGTCCTAGAACTCACTCTGTAGACCAGGCTGGCCTCGAACTCAGAAATCCACCTGTCTCTGCCTCCCAAGTGCTGGGATTAAAGGGGTGCACCACCACCGCCCGGCTTTTTCATCTCTTTCTTAAAGATCTATTTATTTTTATGAGTGTGAGTGTCTGGCCAGCATGTATGTATGTGTACCATATACATGCAGTACCTGAGGAAGTCAAAAGTGTGTGTCAGATCCTTTGGAACTGGAGTTACAGATGGTTGTAAGCTATCCTGTGCAAATCATGGTTTTCAGAAGGAGCAGCCAGTGCTCTTAACCCCTGAGTCACCTCTCTAGCCCATCTCTTTCAATAATTATTCATTGTTTTTTCTTTTTATTACATGAAAATCAAGCCTATAAGGATATTTCTGTATCTTGTGTCTCACATCCTGTAAGGATGATGCTTTGGTTATCTGCATTCATTGCTCAATTTCAAACGGAACCAAGTGTTACTGACACTCCCTACACACTGGTCTATGAACATCTTAAGCAATTGCACAGGATGTGGGTGCAGGGGATCTCCCAGAGAGACAAGAGAATAGTGTTCCTGATGGTTCAAATGATAATGACCCATAGGCTCATATGTTTGAATACTTGGTTTCCAGTTGGTGGAAATGTTTGGGAAGGATTAGGAGGTGTGGCCTTGTTAGAGGAGGTACATCCCTGGGGGTAGGCTTTGAAGTGCACGCCTTTAATCCTAGCACTTGGGAGGCAGAGGCAGGCAGATTTCTGAGTTCAAGGCCAGCCTGATCTACAGAGTGAGTTCCAGGACAGCCAGGGCTATACAGAGAAACCCTGTCTCGAAACAAAACAAAACAAAACAAAACAAAACAAAACAAAACAAAACAAAACAACAAAAAACCCAAAACAACAAAAAACAAAACAAAAAAACCCACTAAGACTCATGCCATTCCAGTTAGCTTTCTTTCTGTCTCCAACTTGCAGAGAAGATGCAAGCTCTTGGCTTACTGCTCTAGCACCAAACCTGCCTGCCTGTGCCATGCTTCTTGTCACCATGACTGTGGACTGTAAGCAAGCCCCTAATTAAATGCTTTTTTTCATTCGGTGCCTTGGTTATTGTGTCTCTTCACAGCAACAGAAAAGTCATCAAGACAGTAACCTTTGCTATTCAGAAAAGGGTTCACTTCCATCAAGACATACCCTCCTTCAAAGGAATAGCAGGCTCTGTACCAGTTAAATCTCAAGGTGATTAGCCCAGAGGAGGCATTCCAGTCATTGCTGAGTGAGTGTCCAGGAGTTATCATTAGTTTGTACACACCTTCAGCCTGGCTCAAAGGTAGATGAAGCCATTCATTTACATGAAGAATATGGAACAGGGCTGATCAAGAGCAACAGTGGGGCTAGCGGCACAGATCAGCAGGTAAAGGTGCTTGCTGTGACACTGACAACCTGAACTCCGGGCCCAGGGCCTGTGGCTGAAAGAGAGAAACAACTAGTGTGCTCTGACCTCCACAGCATGGAGCTCAATAATAGTAAACACACACAGCTTACCAAAAGAAAGGAGGAAATGCCTCATGTGTGTATGTCAGCCTGTGGTGCCAGCTCATCAAGAAACTGATGGTTGGGGCCAGGCGGTGGTAGCACACGCCTTTAATCTGAGCACACAGGAGGCAGAGGCAAGTGGATCTCAGTTCAAGCCAGCCTGGTCTAGAGAGTAAGTTTCAGGATATCCAGGACTACACAGAGGAAACCCTGTCTCAAATTAAAGGGTAGGGGGCAGAAGAAGAAGGAAAAAAAGAGGGAAGGAGGGAGGGAGGGAGGGAGGGAGGGAGGGAGGGAGGGAGGGAGAGAGAGAGAGAGAGAGAGAGAGAGAGAGAGAGAGAGAGAGAGAGAAACATGGTTGCCAAGATCCTCCGAACTGGGAACCCCTGTTTCACAGATTGATCTGTTTTCTTCTTCTTCTGTATGTTTGTGTGCACAGTGTGTATACTATGTAGGCAGACGAGCATGCCTGTGAGGAGGTCAGAATAGGACACTAAATGTCTTCCTCTTTTGCTTGCTGTCTTGAGACAGGGTCTGTTAGTAAACTGGAAGCCTGACACTAAGTTCACTGTCCCTCTGCCCCTGAGCCCCCAGGATGACTGGACAGCAAACTCTCTGATCTGCGGGTCCCTGTTCCCCAGAGCCAGGGTAAAAGGTGTGTGCAGTCCAAACTCAGGTCCTCAAATCTGTATAGCCTGCAATTGTTTCTTTGAGGGAAATTGGGATAGAAAGCTAAAGAAGAGAATATATTGTGTGTGGGCACACGGAATACAACTTAGGTACTTTTATTTAATGGGACGCCTTTTCATTCTGTATAAACGTGCTGTGTGTGAGTGCACACACCAGTGTGTGGACACGTGGAGGGCAGTGGGCTGATGCTGGATGCAGTCTTTTATTGTTATCCACTTTCTTTAAACTTTTTAAATGTTAACTCTGTGTGTGTGTGTGATGGCACACATCTGTGTGTGATAGCTGGAGGACATCTTGCAGAAGTCAGTTGTCTCCTTACCCACTGAACCGTCTTGCCAGGTTTCATTACTTTTCGAGACAAGGTCTCTCACTGGACCTAGAACTCACCAATTATCTACACTGGCTGACTAATAAGTCTCTAAGGGTCCACAGTGATAGTGTTATTACACCTCTATACCCATCACGTGCTTAGAACTAGCTTTTATGTGGGTGCCGGGAATCCACACTTAAGGTCCTGCTGCCCGGGCAGCAAGCTCTTCATCTACGGAGCCATCTCCCCAGCCCATAAATATTCCTTATTACATTTCTTGGAAACTCACAGACAGCCTCCAACATGCCTTCCTTTCTTCTTGCCAAACAAAATCCAGTGATTGTCAAAAAAAAGCTCTCATGGAAGGGCTGAAGTGTGTTTCGATAAGCCACGGGTTTTAATTGGGTGGATTTTCAGAAACAAGGGAAGCGTTTCTAATGAAGTGTTTATTCCTCCTGCCTCTGGGTATTCGTCGAGGTCCTTTTATGATTTGGAAGTAGAGACATGTAATGAATCTAAGAAATACCATGCAGCAGTACACACTCGAGTGCTGACGGTGTCAAATTCATGGAAATCAAAAGAACAGCATCGCCCGCATCTGTAAATCCACCCTGTCGCATTAAGCACAACACAGCTGTGACTGGCAATGACTGGCAACCAGGCCTCAATAATGCGTTAATGGCTGGCTTTTGAATACCACCCCCCTCGCTGTGAATAGACTCTTAAAAAACAAAGGTGTTTGGACAAAGCTCCCCCACTACCCAGTACTTTCAACCCCTGTAAACACTTCCTCATTAGCAGAACAGGTGTGTTGGGGGCGGGGTTATAACACTTCCTTTAGTTTGGAATTAGGCAAGGAAGTGTAATAGTAAGCCAAAGAATCCTCACAGGTATTTTAAAGAAACAAAGGAGGAGCCAAAGTCATTGTCAAGGAAGTAGGTGAAATGAGCTCTGGGCAATTTTAAACATGCTTTGTGAGAGGGAATGAGAGCATGACCACAGGATGATTCTTTACTTACAGGAGGTAATTTAGGAGAGTCTATCATAGGAGGGAAGGCAGCAGACAGGTGTGGTGGCACACCCCTGAAATTCCAGCACTTGAGCACTCGAGGCAAGCCTTGGCTACACAGTGAGTTTGAGGCTAGCCTGAGCTAGATGAGACCCTGCTTCAAAAGAATAAAAACAGGAGCTGGGGAGTTGGCTCATCTGTTAAAAGCGCTTGTTGCTCTTAGTTTGATTCCCAGCACCTATATGGCAGCTCATAATGACTTGTTTATCTCCAGTCCCGAGAGATCCAATTCCCTCTTCTGACCGCTGGGGACACCAGACCTGCTTGCGGCACACGTGGGCAGAACACTTACAGACATAAATGTTTGTTTTTGTTTTTGTTTTTTTTTAAAGAACAAAAGCAAAGGAAGGAGAATGAGAGAAGGAAGGAGAGGGAAAGAGATGAGAGAATGTAAAACCGAAGGAGAGGACAATGGAGACAGGGAGCTTAGGTAGTAACATAGTTACTCTGTGATTTGTCTTCCTGCTCAGTAACCAAGGACAGGACCCAGAAAGAAAACATGAAGTTTCTGTGATGACAAGTTACAATTGTTAACTGGCAGTCTACAATTGCCTGGGAAGGAAGCCTTAATGAGGAATTAATTACCCAGATCAGGTTGACCTATGGACATGTCTGAGAAGAACTTTTCTTTTTCTTTTCTTGAGACACTGGCTGGCCTGTAATGTGCTATGTAGACAAGGCTGGGCTCAAATTCATGGAGATCTGTCTGTCTTTGCCTTCCAGGAGCTGTAATTAAAGGTGTATACCACCATGCCCAGTGTGAAGATTTTTATTAACTGCTTTAATTGCTGTGGGAGCGACCTGCCCATTGTGGGCGGCACCATTCCTTAGGTTTAAGTTCTGAACTGTGTAAGAGTAGAGAAAGTGAGCTGAGCAGTAGTCTCTCATGCATTTATTTCTCTCAGCTCTTGACTGTGGCTGAGATGTGATTAGCTGCTTCAAGCTCGTGCTGCTGTGACATTCCCATGCAGTCTGGAATAGTAAGCTAAAATAAATCTTTTCGCCCCCAGATTTCTTTTTGTCAGGATGTTTTTAATCACAGCATCAGAAACAGAACTAGGGCTGTCTCTGAACTTGACTCCTGTGGTGGTTTGAATACGCTTGGCTCATGAGAACTGAAACTATTAGGAGCTGTGGCCTTGTCGGAGGAAGTGGGGGTAGGCTTTTAGAGTCTCTTCTTGGCTGCCTTGGGATCAAGATTTAGGAAGGGCTCTCAGCTCCTCCTCCAGCACCATGTCTACCTGCACACTGCCATGCTTCCTGCCATGATGATAATGGACTGAACCTCTGAGACTGTAAGCCAGCCCCAATTATGTCCTTCATAAGAGTTGCCTTGGTCATGGTGTCTGTTCACAGCAATGAAACTCTAGCTAAGACATTTCCCCTGCACTTTACCTGTTCACACTGAGTGGTGGGATGTGTACAGAACCCAGCAGAGAACCACATGCTTTTCATGTTAAAAAAAAAAAAATCTCATGGCCTTTGGATCCATCACAGAGCCTACTCTTACCACCAGCCTGGGAAAGGAAGGGTGCAAGAATGGGTCATCAATTCCAGTCCTAACTTCAAGAATGAACCTTATACCCAGATGCAAGATGCACATCTATTAAATCCCAGCTACTGGGAATCCTGAGGCAGGAGGGGCTTAAGATCAGCCTCAGAAGTGTACTAAGATCTCCATCTTGAGACATAAAAACAATCCTCCACCTTGCTATTGACAAGTGGTCTGTAGACAAGTCCAGCTAAGAAAAACTCAGAGCTTGGAGGGAAAACGATGGTGTTGCTAAAGGACTCTGGGAAAGGTAGTCTTTGTTAGATTTTAGTAGAAAAACAGAGAGTCAACTTTTCTCAACTATAGAGAAAAAGAACTTGGAAGTTTTTGATCCCACCCCATCCCACCCGCCTGGAGACAGGGTTTCTCTGTGTAGTTCTGGCTGTCCTGGAACTTGCTCCATAGACCAGACTGGCCTCGAACTCAGAGATACACCTGTTGCTGCCTCCTGAGAGCGTGTGTTACTACCACCTGGCTCGTTCTTTTTTTTTTTTTTTTTTTTGACAGGGTTATGTGTATACATACATACATACATATGTATATATCTGTACCCCAGGATGGCCTTGGATTCACTATGCAACTAAGGATAAATTTGGACTTCTGTTTCTTCTGCTTCTACCTCCAGAGTGCTGGGGTTAGAGGTGTGTATCACCAAAACTGGTTTTTGGAGTACTGAGGATGTAACACGGGGCTGTATGCATGCTAGCCAGGTAGTCTGTCAACAGAGCCACATTCCTGCCCCCATGACATAGGGAATAATTTATGCATTTGTTTAAATTTTTATTTTGTTTTTCTTTATTTATCTGGTCTTGTTTGAGACAAAAATTTTCTGTCTAGCCCTGGCTCTCCTGGAACTCGATCCGTAGACCACACTGGCCTTGAACTCAGAGAACCACCTGCCTTTGTCTCCCGAGTGCTGGGATTAAAGGCATGCGTTACCACTGCCCAGCTGTCTACAGTTTTATAACATTTATTTATTGTCGTGTATGCACATGCTCATGCAAGCCTCAACGCTTGGCTGGAGGTCAGAGAAGAAATAACTTGTGGGAGTCGGTTTGCTCCTTTACCATGTGCGTTGAACAAGCTGTCAGGCTTGGCAGCAAGTGCCTTCACTGGCCCGATTACTTGCCCTCGTGTAAATGACAGCAGTTACAAAGGGCTCTGCTTGGCATCCCATGTGCCATTATTTTAGAGTCATATGGAAAAGAGTCCTATTTGAGACCTTGAGAAAACTTGTGTCATCAAGTTGGTTCCTTCCACCAAAGTTAATCTGGTTTCCAAAGCGAGAGCCCTGTTGAAACCTGTGCTCTGGGCTTGTTCATCATCCTGTAGTAAGAGGACAGTCCAGTAAGAAGAAGTGTTGAGGTGTGCCACCTAATGGGCCCACGTGGAGCTCTTGTTCTGCCTCTGAGGCCCTCTTCTACTTTTGGTGCCTACGTAGGCAAGTTCCTCTGAAGGAAAATTATCCCTAGGAGCTGTACCAAGAGATAAGCCTTCTGGGCTCTTGCCAAGCCCAGAGGTAGATTAACCTAACTAGCAAAGCAAGCCATATATTCTGTGGATCTCACTTCCCAAATATACTCATCCGGAAGACTCAGAGGTCAGAATGAGAGGTGATTTATAAAACTGCTACACAGAGCAGTGGGAGGAAATTACACCCTACAGAAAATGCATTTTCACCTAAGAAGTATTTTCTAGATATAAGTACTTGGTGTCAGTTCAGCACTGGGGCATTGGGCAAGCATGCTATCTCCTACCAGGCAATGATGGCAGTAGGGACCTTGTCCACATCCCAGGGACCAGGCCAACCACCCACCTTGTGCACAAATTGTTCCACTCGAGTCTGAAGGCCCCACACCTCGAACTTGACGGTGACCAGTTTGTAGGAACACATGATGGGCTGGTGGTTGTCTCGCCAGCCTTCTCTTAGCTGCCCTCGGCCTGTCTTCTCAGACTTGAAGTGTTTAGGATCCTAGAAAAGATACGCCAAACAAACCGGTATATTAAAACTTCAGAGCCATGGGTGAGGCAGCACAGGCCTGTAATCCCAGTTCTTGGCAGGCAGAGGCAGGATGGTCAGGAGTTGAAGACCACCTCAGGTATATAGTGAGTCAGAGGCTAGCCTGGGCAACCTGAAACATCTCAAAAAAAAAAAAAGCTATCTATATGAAATGTCCAGAATGGGCAAAATACACATAGACAGAAAGTAGACCATGGGACCAGGAATAGGGAAGACCATGGGGACTACTAAGTGGGGAGGGGATGGGGATGGGTGGGTGGGGTGTCAGTTTCCTGGGAAGAGCTGGAGAGGCCTGGGAAATGTCTCAGCAGGTAAATACCCTTGTCATGTAAGCCTGAGTACCCAAGTTCCATTCCTGGAATCCACATAAAAAGCCCAGTGGAGGGCTGGAGAGATGACTCAGCTGTTAAGAACACTGATTACTCTTCCAGAGGATGTGAGTTCGATTCCCAGCGCCCACATAGTGACTCACAACTGCCTGTAACTCCAGTTCCTGGGTACCGACACCGTCATACAGACTTGCATGCAGGCAAAACAATACACATAAAAATAAAATTAAAAAAATTACATTTAAAAAAAAAAGAGCCAGATGTGGTTGGTGGTGGGCATCTGCAATCCCAGTGCACTTATGGGACGATGGAAGGCAGAGACAGAATCAGCTGGAAGGTCCAGAGGCAGTAACCCGACTATGCTGTGCAATGGAGCAATAGAAGACCCAGCAGGTAGGAGAGACAATGACTCCACGTTCACGCACATATGCACACGCATGCCCACATGCACATACGTGCAGACTTAAAGAAATAAAGATTATAAACTCTTCTAGCGATGGGCCTATGGTGGAAGACATCTTTTCATACAATCTGAAACTGTGTTCCCAGGCATGGCCACTCAGATTTAGCTCAGAACAAATGATCTCTTATTCCTGTTTCACACTGACAAGGCAGAGCCCTTGTCCTCCCGCTGCTGCTCCTCTTCTGAGAGTCTGTCTGAGGCACCATCAGCTTAAGATACAACAACTGCGTACAACACTATGCTGGGATGTGGCTCTGACGGTAGAGCGCTTGCCAACATGCATGAAGTATTCTACAGGAGCAAGGAAGAGCTCTAACCACCGAACAATCCTGCCAGTTCACATGCCAGACATCAGTAACTTTTCCCTAAGCATTCTTCTCCCTAGCTAGCCCTTTTTCCTGACTGTCTCTTCTGCTATTTTTTCTTCAGGAGCCCGTCGTGTGTAGCCCAGGGGTTCTGGTCACCCCCACAACACTGTGAATCTTTTGGCGCATGGAGGGCTCTCCTAGCTAAACTTCCAGCACACTACAGGCATGCATTCCAGACCCATAATCCTCATGCAGTAAACAAGACACAGCAATATGAAAGGGAGTGCAGGGCCTTCCTGAAAGAGTCAGTACAGGACTTTACTCCCAGCACTCAGCAGGCAGAGGCAGGCAGATCTCTGTGACGACAGCTTGGTCTATAGAGAGAGTTCCAGGAAAGCCAAGGCTACACAGAGAAACCCTGTCTTGAAAAAAAAAAAATTCAGTTCAGAATGAGACTAGAAAAGCATCATTCACACAGCTGAAACTACAGAGGTGCTTTAACCAAGGTGCGGGGTGTGTGTGTGTGTGTGTGTGTGTGTGTGTGTGTGTACAACCTTGGTAGTCAGTGCTCACCTTCTGCCTTCAATACAGACTCTTGTTTTTTTCCTGTATAAGTCAGGCTAGTTGACTTTCAAGCTTCCAGGGACTCTTCTGTGTCCACCTCCCATGTTACTATAGGAACACGGGGATCACAGATTCGAACCATTGTTCCTGGATATATGTAGGTTCAGGGGATTCAAACTCGGTTCTTTACAACTGTATGGAAAATTCTTTATGCTATCTCTCCAGTCTCAAGGTATGATTCTTTTTTTTTTTTCCAGAGCTGAGAACTGAAACCAAGGCCTTGCGCTTCAAGCGCTCTACCACTGAGCTAAATCCCCAACCCCAAATTTAAGATTTTTTTTTTTTATGTGTATGAGTACACTGTAGCTGTCTTCAGACACACCAGAAGAGGGCACTGGAACTCATTACAGTTGGTTGTGAGCCACCATGTGGTTGCTGGGAATTGAACTCAGGACCTCTAGAAGAGCAGTCAGTGCTCTTAACCACCGCGCCATCTCTCCAGCCCCTCAAGGTATGATTCTTAATGGCTCCCAAAACTCTTAAATTATAGTAGGGTATTGTAAATCAGAGTCTGGGGAGAGGTTAGCTGTGAATGAGAAGTCTACTGGGTTTACCAGAGCCAGAAGGTAAGATCTGTAAAAGCTGTGGGACTTTACATTTATAAAATTCTGTGTGTGTGTGCACGCTCGCGCACGTGTGTCTGTGTGTCCCATAGTTGATGTGTTAAAGTCTGAGGAAAACCCAGGAGTCAGTTCTTTCCTTCCCCAACGTGGGTTCTGGAGATCAAACTCAGCTCATCAGCCTGGGCAGCAGGTGCCTTTACCTGCTGAGCCATCTTGTCAAGCCCAGAATAGAATTTTCTAAGTGGACAGTGAAACTCTGGTTTCACAACCTCAATTTGCTAGATAAAGACACTGAGACTTGAGGGAAAAAAAAAAATCAGATATTTCACCTGAAGATCACAGGTCCTTCACCCAGCCCAGTGTTCTTTCTGCCACATTTACTTTCAAAATTAAACAGTGAAAGGGTGTTGTTTATTTTATTTTTTAACATAGCTCAATGCTGAAGAATCGATCAACAGTTGGGCTCTGTATGGGAGTGGGATGTTACCCACTCAAGACTGTCATATCTACAGCTGGTAATTTCGTCTACTAAATCTCTAACCTGGCCTATAATTAGAAATTCGAGTTCTGCCGGGCGGTGGTGGCACACGCCTTTAATCCCAGCACTTGGGAGGCAGAGGCAGGTGGATTTCTGAGTTCGAGGCCAGCCTGGTCTACAGAGTGAGTTCCAGGACAGCCAGGGCTACACAGAGAAACCCTGTCTCGAAAAACCAAAAAAAAAAAAAAAAAAAAAAAGAAATTCGAGTTCTAAGTGCTGGAGAGAATTACGGAAAGAAGGAAGGCTTCCAGAAGGACACCTTTGATCCAAACTCTGGATCAGATGTGAATGTCGGCTGAATGTGAGTGGATAGCAATGAACCAAGAAAAGGTGCTTGTGTGTGTCCACATGTGTCTGTGTGCATGTGAGTGTGTGTGTATGTGTTCATGCATGTATGTGTATAAGCCAGCACGTATCACCTGACTCAGCGTAGACACTGGGAACGCCCCTTCTTCCACTCTCTCCACCATTGTATCCCCTCTTTCTCCAGAGCGCAACCACTTAGGATACCTTACTTACCTTCCCCTTTCCTGTTCATTTCTTTTTTTTTTTTTTGGTTTGGTTTTTCGAGACGGGGTTTCTCTGTGTAGCCCTGGCTGTCCTGGAACTCACTCTGTAGACCAGGCTGGCCTCGAACTCAGAAATCCGCCTGCCTCTGCCTCCCAAGTGCTGGGATTAAAGGTGCACACTACCACCTAGCCTCTTTCTTTATTTCCAATGATACATATTTCTCTGGCATATTTTTCAGGAACTAACCTCAGCCTTTTACATTTATTTATTCTCTCTCTCTGTATGTGTGACATATACTTGCATGTGAAGGTCAGAGGATACTTGTGGTTCTCTTCTTCCATCGTGTAAATGGGTCAAATTTAGGTCATCAGGCTTGGCAGCAGATGCCTTTACCCACTAAGCCATCTTATCAGCCTGGTTATTAGGGTTTATTTATTTATTTGTTTGTTAGCTTGTTTCTGTCTCCCCCCACCCCCCTTGCAACCAGACAGTTTCTCTGGCTGTCCTTGAACTGGTTCTGTAGTCCTGGCTGTCCTCAAACTCACATCTGCCTGTCTCTGGCTTCCAAGTGCTGGGCTCAAAGGAGTGAGCCACCGCTGTCCAGCCAGGTTAATAGCTTTAAAAAAAAAAAAAAAAAAAAAAAGATATAATGCTTCATGTTAGTCTGACCAAGAAGCTGTTGTTATGTATTTATTTACTTATTTAGTTATTGACAGGGTTTTATTTTGTAGCCCAGGCTGATATAGAACCTGTGGCAATCCCCCTCCCTTGGCTCCCTGACTGCTGGAGTCTAATACACTGAAACCTTTGTGCAGTGGCTGGTGACTCCCCAAAGGATGTGCTAAGTGCATGCCTTTGCCCCTGGAAACGAAGTATGATGTGATTTTAAACCAAGGTCTTTGCAGATGTAATTAAGCTAAGGATCTTTAGATGAGATCATCCCGGATTAAATGGATGGGCCCTAGGTTCAATGACAAGTGTCCTTGAAAGAGGCAGATGGGAGGACACAAAGAGAGTCACTTGGTGACAGAGGCAAGGATTGAAGTTGCTCAACTCATGACCTCCTGTAGGACCCAGAAGCCAGAACATCCTCTAAAGCAGGAGTTTTCAACCTGTGGGTCACAGCCTCTTTTTGGGGGGTTGAATAACCTTTGCACAGGAGTTATCTAAAACTATCAGAAAACTCAGGTGTTTATATTACGATTCATAACAGTAGCAAAATTACAGTTATGAAGTAGCAACAAAAATAATGTTATGGTTGGGGTCACTACAATATGAGGAACTGTATTAAAGGGTCGTAGCATTAGGAAGGTTGAGAACCACTGCTCTAGAGCCTTATCTTGATCTCAAGAACACGAGAGAGACCTCTAGGGAAGAAGTGTAGGTGGAACAAGGCCAGGTCCCAGAGCTTGGCTTTAACTGGGTCTGAATACCCAAATTCTTAGAAGTTCTAGGTTTAGCCACTGCTACTAGATATAGACAGATAAGGAACCTGAAACTCAGACATGATCAGCAATATATTCAATACTGTCCCCTCATCCTTGGATCTAGGTGTTTAATCCACCACGCAGACTTCCCCAGCCCATTTTTTGATGAGATTTGACTACAGGAAAAAGT